GTTTAATTAGAAAATTAGGAAAGTAATTCAAAATCAATCCCAGGAAATCTTTGCAAAGGATAAATATAGTGATTATATGTTTCCTACGTGCACTCTCACTGACCAGGTCTGTAATGAGGGACATGTCAGGAGAAGCAATGCTTTAATACTTTTAATTTTCATAGAGAACAACAATTCTTTCAAAATAAAAAAAGGAGGAAGAACAGATATTGCTTTTAGAGACAGGAGGCATACATATGTATACCAAGATTATACAGAGATCAAGTCCTTTGAACTTATCAAAGTTCATAAACTCCAAATTTTCATGACATTCTTTTCAAGACAGGAAATATAATTACATTTCACTACAGTAAATGAATTTGCGGTTGGGTAATTGTATATAGTTAAAAGTACACAATGGACTGAGTTTTGGCCTAATTTGGTTTCATCTTTAAGTTATACCCTGCCAAGGTACAAACTATTGAATTCCACGCTAAAACTAAATCAGGGAAATCGATGCAGAGTTAAGTTGGGAATTGCTCAACTCTACCGAAATTATATTGAGGCAACTCAAATTTCTTGCTATTTTGCGCCCTGTCCCAAGCGTTAAGAAATGAGGGCAGTTTAGAAAGGAGAAAAGGGGGGAAACAAATACGGAAGGCAAATAATATCTTTCAAGTAGAAATAATTTTCCCATCCATTATTTAACTGAATCCTTTCAATAAATGGATTTTCACCATAAATAATTGGTATTGATAAATAATCATAGCCTTGAATCAATTATCTGTTCATTATTTTGACAAAACAGAATTAGGTTCTTTACGTTATAAATATATCACATCTTGACTGATATAAAAACATCATGTAAATCATACTTCGTTGTAACAAAGAAAGGGCTAAAAGATAACATTACAAGTAGCTTAGTAAGCATCAAGAGATTTCTGTCCCTAAAGAGCTCATAAAGTTATATGTGAAGGAGCTCCTTTTCATGACATTCTAAGAGAAAATGGATTAAGTTGAGTCATCCAATGCAACTTGAATGAAAGCAGACGCAGAATTCATAAAATATTGAGGTAATGGATGGTTGCACCCAATGGTGTGTAACGACCCGGCCTCTCACCGGAGCCGTTATCTTACGTACTGTCCGTTCTGGGGTGGGCTTCTGCNTAAATTAACGGGGGGCAAACAGGGGTTTAAGTTGAATTCTGGTACCAATTGGGCAAGCCCACCCCGAAGCGGACAGTACGTAAGATAACGGCTCTGATGAGAGGCGGGTCGTTACATGGTGAAGGTCCACTAATACTACAATTTTCTTCTAATAAAAAGAGTGTCACTGAACATGATTACAATTGGAACACTAATGTAGATCAATGCACAAAAAGTTGTGTCAAATTTAACATGTCGTGCTTAATTTTATGAGGATGTCTAGATTATGATTTGTCGGCTGCCAAATGTGCAAACAAAAGGTTTGGCAAAATCAGAATATTTAGAAAATTTCACGTTGAAATATCAAATCTGAGTACAAAAGTATTGAAGTTTGATGGCACAAGGATAGTAAGTCATGAGATGATTTGCATAAATAAAGAATATGAGGGTAGAAAAGGCACAGAGAAGCAAGAAAATATAATGCATTTGAAAATCTAATATAAATAGATTGAGGTTGAGAACACCTTTAATTTCCTTAACCATGTTTGAGCCAAACTAACAAAATCCTCGCAAGCATTTGAACCATCAGAACTATGAAGCAATTTATCAGCGATCTCATGAGGGCTCTGCGAATCATTGAATTAATTAAGATAATGAATAAACCATACAAGAAGGAACACAAAAAAATATTGCATAGAAGAAAAAAACTTCAAACTATGTGCATGTGAGTGCTAAAGAAGGGAAGAAGTGTCTAGATGGATGATTAAAATCCCAATCCAAGCGTAACAATCAAGAAGAGCTTTGAAACAAGCACATAATTTAGTCCATGTCACTGGATGCCAATCCAAAGCTATGTACATTGCTATCTCCGCTTTTTGTTACAAAAAATTGAGGTAATGTATCAAGTATTTGGACTATATCATAAGCAGATAACAAACCCTTGTAGAATAATTACTTAACAATCTACCGTGCCTCAACTTCATTCAGAGTAATTATCCTTCCCACAAAATGCACAAAGAACTTCAAAATAGTTCTGAAGCATATTCAACCTTGTCCCAGTTTCTACCAGAAAAAAACCAGAGTTTCTCTCTTCTTCCAAAAGAAAAAGAGAATCACAATATCCTTCCAGCCAATGTCGTCATAGCAGTAGAGAACTTACATATTCAATTCTACATGCAGTATGCAGAAGTTCTTCGAAAAGTGAACTATCTTTCTGAGTGATAATAAAAGAAAAATGCTTCAATTGAGAAAGCGCTCATAAGACTTGATGAATAGAAAGATGCACATTACTACAAACTACTTCAATAAATCTCCTGTTACTACTAAGAGGAAACTGGTATGAATGGTCTGATTCTGGGGGAAAAAATTAATACACGTACATAAATACATGTGTGTGTGTAATTAGACCTACCATAAATGAGCTGACAAAAGCATGGGAATGTGTTCCACGGAGTGGGATTCCAAATAATTTCCCAGCAGCAACATTGCTGTTAGCACACAACAACAAAAATAGATGAGTCTAGCTTATGCATCATGGTGATTAACAGGAAGCTAAGATATTCTCTTTCTTTTTGGTTGGGAGAGTGGGGGTGGACTTAAGTGCAACCATTAAATCCAGAAGGTCAGGATGATTCAAAGAAGCCCATTAAACTGGTCCTTTGAAGGTTCGACTTTGTTAGATCAGATAACAAATCAATCCGGTGAGAACTATCGGCTCAAGTTTTACCTAAAAAATAAGGATGAAATTTTGAATCCATTAACTATCTGCTATTTCATATTCATCCGAAAGAATTCAGTGCATATAGTTTAAGCATGTTCCACCCAAGAAATTATAAAAATAACAACATTGTTAAGAAATTCTTTATATACTTCAAGAATTTGTACTCACACATAATGAAGTCAAAAGGAGATAATTGGAAGTTCACTATACATTTGAGTAAAACTATAAATACGCTAAGAACGTGTATGTAAACATCAAATACAAACTAAACCTATTTGCAATAAAGTTGGGCCTACACTCTAAGAACTTAACTGTGAAAAACAAAGTTTTGATATAGAGGATGACAAAGCATTACCTCTATCCACTAATGAAGAATTACATACTTACACATATCATACAACCATTAATATTTTGATATCGTGTATGAGTAGGTTAGTGCATGGTTACATATCTATAAAGATATATAAAGAATTATTGCTATGATCCATTGGTTCGATTGGGTCAACCAATGGTTGAAATGGTTAACCAGTGAGACATAATGCCTTTGAAGAATTGTTGAAGAACATTCAATGAACAAAATGAAGTTTAAATTACACATCCCACAGGAAATCACCTTGTAGCATCAAATCCACCCATGTAGCTATACTTTGATGCCCCTATACCACCATCAGGTCCCTACATGAATGTGAAACAAACAAGTCTCAAATGATATACAACAAGATAAGTCCTTCAAAGTAAAACAAACAGGAGACCACTTATGTGACCTGAGCCCTTCGCAGCCCAAATTCAAGAAGAAGTTTGGACTTCCCAGCAACAAAACGATGCCTTGCAGCATTTGTAGCTACCAACGATGCATAATTGATAAGATTTAAAAGTGGGGTCTCAAGCAGTTGAACCACCTTAAGAAGACAGATACAATTATCAAATATAAGGAAAGATGCTTACCAAACAAATATATGAATCAAGTCATATTTTATTATGTTCTTCGAAGTCATATTTTTAGCACGTTATCCAATTACGTTTATGATTTATGATTAAGGACAATTTTGGAGGTACTCACAGCTATTGGTCCTTCAACCCTCATTAAGGGTACATTTGGAAATACAACGTATCCTTCAGAAATGGAATGTATCTCCACATTGGAACAATCCATTCCTCGAAGGTAGTCGTAGAAGCCATCCTAAAGCCAAAAAACAATTGACAATATTAGGAGAACCTATTCTATAAGAAACGCCATACGTTACAATGAAAATAAAAGGAAGCATCGTGTCTGACAAACGCATTATATTAATAGCATAAGCAAGGGCATGAATACTGGAACTACCTGAAGCTTTGATGGTTATGTTATGGATATATTTATTGCTAGCAGAGTAGAATGAGGCCGTGAAGCTATCTAGTATCTACTTTTTGATTCAGGCACTTTAGATAACAAATTATGAAACATCAATCTAAACAGTTCAGTCATTACTTTACCGAAACTAATGTTTGGGTTATGATCATTTTTCTCGTTTCATATGCAGTTCTCTGATAGAGAATAAAATTGATTTTGTAGGTGATAGTCAATTGTTAACTAACCAATTTGTGTTAATCAAACAGGACATGAAATTTTAAATTGATCGAACGTGTTTTCCTAATTAAAATTAATTTTAAAAAAAAAAACCCCCCACAGAAACCTTGAAGTCCTGTTGAGCAATAGATCAGCAAAGTGATCCTAATTAATATAAGGTTTGATTGTCTGCAATTAAATAAGAGTGGAAGTGTATGTTGTTTAGTAACTACATACTGTGTTTTCAAAGTGCAAAATCTTGATGAAAACCTGAATGTTTGCCTAATATCTCGATTGATTAATTAACATATAACCATTCATATTAAGTGCACCAGTATACCTCACATGACGGAGGCAAGGATGCTCGGATAAAAGCAATATCATCCTCTCCAATTCTGAAGTTAGCAATTAACTTTATGCACTCTTCTAGACCAGCAAAAACTGTATATTCACCGCCGAAGGGGTTCTTCCGAAAATACAAGTCGAACCTGAAAGATAATCACATACTAACTATGAGTAATTTTTGAAATGATAACACCACCACATGTTTTTTGTTAAACTGAAGTGGGCAGCAAAATTAAACAATCTCCTTCAGCCCAAGACTAAATGTATGTATCGAATAAGATGGAGGCATCCCTACAGGGCCAAAGAGTTAAATCATGTTCTAGCAAATCACAAAAAAAACTTTTAACAAAAACTAAAAATTCCTGCACATGATATCAATTCATCAGAAACTTGTAAAGGGAGATCTAAGCATCTGGGGTTGTATGAATAGTTGACAGAGATAAAAAGTCAGCCTATCTTTCTTGGTGGGGCCTAAGCAACGAAACAAGTACTCCCGTAAAAAAATTAGGAGAAAATCCTTTTGAGAATATATTAATTAGTTCTCATGCTAACAAATTTAACTAACTGTAACAATGTTCACATAAATCCAAATACATTCATTTTCCTTTTTCTCCACAGGTACATCTTTTTCAAATACAGGGAAAATTTTCCATTGAAAGAAAATGCACTATGCGTAAAGTTGAGCTGGTTCACAAATAAGCTTTGTCATTTTTCTCATCTTTTTGTTCATTTTATATAAATTTCCAACATGAATGTGTTGGTCATTTGTAAAGGCAATTAATAAAAGGCTAGTAACATATTAACTTCGAAATTCGAACAAAAAGAATATCTTTCTCCATGTTCAGCGAATATTCACAAATGAAACCTATACTAAAAATTTCAGCTTCAAAACTAATCCCATCAATAATCCAGAAAGCAATTGGGGAAGGCTCAATCTTAGAGTTCCAAATACTTGAACTAAACTTAAAATAGAACTATAATTCGATCCAGCAACGGCAAAAGATGCCGTAAACTGAAATAATTAATGCAACAACACAAAAATAAAAATCTCGTAAATGTTGAAGCACCCAGACTACAGCTCATCTTATTAATTATCGTTCCTGTAGCTGGAAAAAATAAGAAATGTTGAAAAAACAAGTACTCATAATTGTTATTTCTCTCATGACTGATTGAACAAATTATTTCCTTCCATGATTCTTTATAATTAACCAATATTGTTCGTATGATCGTTATTGGTTCAATAACAACTGCTTGATTTAAAACCACGAATGTGGAAATAGTTATCAAAAGATTAAGAATTAAAATCTGTTTAAGATATAAACTAAACCGTTCTAATACAATGACAACAATCAATACTTCATTTTTAGAGTTCCCAACCAATCAATAATAAACTCAACAATAGAATTCAATCAACCACATAAAAAATTGGCGCGTAATCATAAACTGATTAACCGTGCAAGTCACAGCGAGCAAAGAAAGAAAAAGATAAAGAATTACACAGCTCGTTCGTCGTGTTTCCCGGCTTTCCAGTAAGCATAGGCCATAGTAAACTGATAGAGATCCGTGAGAAGAGGTGTCACCAAAGGATTGGTCGGCCCATCGACGCCGGCGTTCGCCATTTGATCGAAATTCAATTCTACAAACTCTAGCTAGTCTGTGATGATTTTTACCACTATTATATATCTATATATATACACACACAAAAGCTTAATATCTGTGTACCAAAACGGTGATGGGAGGATTGTTGAGACCGTTGCGGTTACTGTTGTCAATATCGATACTGCATCAAATATATATATACATGAGCATGTGGGGTGGAGTGGAGTGGGGTGGGGTGGCTGGGTCGGGAGGCGCGGAGTTGTGGTAGGGAAATTAAAAATGAGGATATGGACGTAATAATGCATTTTATGCCGTGTTTTATTGGAATGTGGGGAATGTTATTATCATGAGCAATAAGATCACTTTTTATTTTGTCATTTTTATTAAGGCTCCGTTTGCTTCGGATTAAAATTAAATTTTAATTTAAGTCAAAATTAAACAATCAATATTAACCACATCTTTCATACGTCCCACAACTTTTCAACCACACATTTCAAATTTTTTTATCACAATCTACTAAAAATCTAATTTTAATCCCCACCAAACGCTCACTAAAATTGTTTACAGAATAAGCCCCTTCTTGATAAATTTTTATTAAAATCAAAATCAACAATTAATTTTAACCACACGTTTCATTAACTTTTATCAAAATCTACTAAAAATTTGATTTTAATTAGTATTATGAGTAAACAGTCAACTAGTGTACTTGAAATATCCCTCCCATGTTTTTAATTATAATTCAATCAAAATGGTATTCCTCGAAATAGTCGATAGTTAGAATCTAGGACGCGTTTACAGTTTTTAATTTGTTTTTCTAACATTTATGTCAATAAATTGGGAAAGTTAATTTCTAGTGTTCGAGTGGCAAGTTGATTGATTCCATCATTTACGAATGAGCAAATAAATTCTCGATCATTTGCATAATTAGTCTTTAGTTAGAGAAATTCATCCAAATCTTTGTCTTATCATCGTGATTCCTCATCGATGTTTATCCTTCCATCCAAATTGAGAAACAAAATCTAATTTCGAACATGAGACGACAATTAGGGTTCAAATTTATGACCGTTGAACAAATAAATTATGATCGTGGACAACATGGATCTTGCTATATGTACATAGAGATTTACATAATGAATTACGTAATGCCACAATTGTCAGTTTAAAACGAGTTTAAAACAAAAAAAACTTTTTCATTTAATATTTTCCTTTTACATCATATTAATTGTAATCTATTATGTACATTTTTTTATGTACAAGTAGCAAAATTCGAACAAACATTAGGCGGACACGGTAGACACAA